CTTGCCAGGCACTACAATAACAGCATTTCCTAAAAAATAAATATAGAAAGCAAATAAATAATAGTTTGATTTGCACCCTCACCTCTGGTTTACTAGCTGCTTACATTTAGGAGCAAAAGCTCATCCTAATAAATTGTGATTTTTTTTTTAAATCTAGGGCTGTGCAAAGATTAATTGCGATTAATCACATCCAAAATAAAAGTTTGTGTTTACATAATATATGTGTGTGTGCATATACATTTAAGAATTATTTGCACGTAAATACTGTGTGTATATATATATATATATATATATATATATATATATATTATATAATTATACACAGCAGACACAAATATATTATGTACACACAAACTTTTATTTTGGATGAGATTAATCTCAATTAATCTTCGCACAGCCCTAATTAAATCAGTAAAAGGTAAACCAATAACAACCCTAAGAACCCTAAAAAACAACAACACAATTTTACAGTAACAATGTTCAAAACACTGTCAAAACTAAGGATAAAAAACATTTATAATTAGTATTATTATCTTTAAATGTGAGACATGTCATTTCTGCTATTAGTGCAGCTAAAAAGAAGAGTGAAAATTGTTGTTTACACATGGCTGAGCCAAGAAATTACATGTAGAACCATGTCTAATTTTTGAATCCTGTTAACTCTGTTCACAGAAGTTAACCTACAAATGGCTTAAATGCAGATTTCCTCAAGTTGTTTGAATCAGATATAGGACTATCTCAACACAAGAAAGTGTCTGTTTAAAGAAAGACTCACCCATAGATAGGGCAGGTAAAACTTTCAGCATAAGAAAATATACAGTGCAGTCATCTGAAACTACCACGACACCTAGTGGAGTAAGCAAAACATGACATCAGACTCACCATCATGCTTCGTACTTGTTTTCTCACAATTACACAGGCCTTGTTACACTAAGGGTATATTTACAAGGTAATGATGTTCTACGAATAGAGATGTTTTTCCTTTGCACGTTTTGTTGCAAAAACGTGCAGTTTTTGACCTTTGCACGTTGTAAAGAAACATTACGCACCTAGACTGAACACGTAATACACGTACATAGGACATGACTGTTTTCATAAATTCTCGTTTTTGTAGTTTACACTGAGACGATAATGGTATCGGCTTCAAAAACTTGCACTTTGAAACATGTTTTCAAAAGTTTGCATTTTTCAGACCCCCAAAACGCCCTTGTTGTGTAAATGAACGGCCACAGCGCATTAAAAATTTTCACGAAAACAGTGCTGTGTAAGCAGCCCCTAATACATTTTCATTTAAAAATGCATCTTTTTCTCACCGTTTTACCCTTTTGTTCACAGTGAGAAGGCTTTTTTTTTTTTTTTCAACAAAACTCTCCCAAGTGGATGAATTTGAAAACGATGTTTGCAAGTTGTAGTGTGGACTCTAAGTTGAAATGATGACATGTTGTACCGATAGACATGGGAATTTGGTTTAAAATGCGTTGGGGTCAGAGGTTCTGAGTTCTGATCCACACTCGTATAGTTTTTTTATTTTTTCTCATTAAAACCGATTATGTTTATCAGTGGTTGTATATCAAGAAGGGACACGTTTGTGTGCATTTTACTTTGTGATTTTACCAGAACGAATAGAGAGTCTCCGCGATGGATTAAAGCACGCATTTTTGTGAAGACTGTGCCCGGCAGTGTGAGCCACAAGAGAACACTGTATCCATTTTTGTATCCAACACTGTATTCATTTAACACACACACACACTGAAGACACTGAAGCATGCGAGACGCTTACACTGTTTTTTGTCTATATGAAGACAGAAATGCATGAACTTCCTCTCCAGGCTCTAGATCCACTCTGAAAGTCACTTTGTGATCATTTAACCACTTCATTTGAGAAACTATCATCATGACAAACACACAGAAACTCAAAAGGTCTTCGCGGCAACCCGTCAAAATAAAAGTTCGGTTAAACTTGACTGAAATATATTACTCTTGTACAGTAGAATTTAAATATGTCCTAATGTAATAATACGCTAACACTAATCCAAATAAATTATGATTTTTTTTAAACAAAACTAAATTTAAGGAATAATCCATGTTTTAATTTTAACAGTAAAGCTAATTGTGCAGCATGTTATTTTACAAAAAGTTTATGATAAATGATACAATTTCCGAAACACCTTAATGGAGAGCTGAGGATCACCACCAATACCTGCCTCTGTAGTGATCATTTTATACAAATAGTTTTATAAACTTTCGTCGGAGACAACTAGGCTTCACTGATAATCTGCAGCAACTGGTGAACCGATTTATCTCCCGCCTCGGCCTTCATCCTCCTGTCCCAAAAGCAGTTTCACCTAAAATCACCGTTGGCAGCTTCCCCGCGAGTGGGCATGACTTCACACAGCCAGCGGACACACCCCCAGCGTTTGAGAGCAGAGAATAATACTTATGTTTTCAAGATTTTGATAGCTTATTTTATTTACGTGGCGGCTTTTTTATCATTCAAATTTGGCTGGGTGGCTAAAAACACATTTTCCTGTGGGGTGACAAACTCAGAACACATACTTAATTTTAACTTTACGGGGACTTTAAACATTTTTCAGATGTGGATGAGCAACTTTAGGAAAACACCAGCGTGGACAGGGAGCCTTTTGAAATTAAAATGTAGACTTAGTCACATTTTCTCCCTTTTTTATATGAGTTCTGTCTCTCAGACTCATATAAATGAATAGACATGCACATACCATGCGGGGTCCACTCAGGCATGAGTGTGTCTCGTAGTTGAGCCCAGCTGGCGTAGTATTGGGCTAGTCTAATGAGCACCGTAGGAGATGTAGAAGACTGAGAGAGCTCACACAGCTCAGATACACACTGACTGTGTCTTTGCAGAACACTCGCCAACCTGGGGAATAAACATATATTAATAACAATGTATTATTTATGTTTTATTAACAATGTAAACCTGACAATTACTGTGATAGGTTAATTATTTATGACATTATTTTGAGTAATGATCTAGTACTTGAGTAAGACTTTGGCTCTTTGGTAACAGCTCAGTTCCCTCCAGGTTTTGAAGCCTTGATCTGCAGAGGAGACAGCAGCAACAACATCCTCATCTTTAGCACAAACAGTGCTGCAGACCACCGCTGCTGTAAAGAGAGAGGACGAGGGAAGGAGAAGTTATCTTATCATTCCATGGAAGATTGGATAACAGATAGGAACTTCTGGAAAATATCCAATATTGTTCACCTTTGGAATCAGTCACATCCTGGGTCTGCCTGTCTGCAGGTCTGGAAAATTTCCCATCAACGAAGAAGCCAAGACTGCGAGAGTGCTTCTCCAGCCAGGACTGAGAGAGAGAAAGACATGCAGGAAAATGGACACTTTCCTGAGAGAATCCACATTTCAGTGGAATGCACATCTCTCGCAGATGAGAAAAAAATGATGGCACACTATACTTGAGAATTAGGTTCAACTTAATGTTGAAAATTAGAATTTCTTTGGTAATGTATGCTTCAAAATACAACCATGTTTGATTGAAGTAAACTATGTAGGTTGGTGAGTTCTAACTCTTTGAGAAAACCAATAGATTGGCATTGTGGAAAAAAGGGTGAAGGTTGCAGTAAATCATTTACTCACAAAATACATTACCAGTTTTGAACTTTGCTCACAATACTTCAACGCGTAGTTTAACCACAAAAAACAACTTATACTAATGTAGTTCCAACCTGTATGACTTTCATTTGGATTTTTATAAAGGCATAAACATACAGGACATAAACGCTGACAGCCTTAAATGGCAAAGAGATGCAATGGAAGTAAATGGTGACTTAAGCTGACTGTCTGTTTGTAGCGAACTTCTAAATAACATCTTTTAGTATTGTATAAGAGTCATATGAATTTGGATTTTACGGAATGAATGAACATTTCCTTGGAAACATGCACAAAGAAGTAGGCCTACAATCCAGACAGTGTTTTTTTTAATGCAATTTTACAGAAAGAGGATAACCTGCATCTTGTCACATGCTTTTCTCGTGAGCGGTCATCCTAATGTAGCCTACTGTCACATGTAAATCATTTTCACATTGGGTGATAAAGTGGCAGCATGCTGTGATGCTTTTAATACAATTTGCCCAAGATACATAACGTTACAATGATAATTTCCCCACGAGAGACCGTGCTTTACCTGTGCTGTTGCAGTGTTTGTGGTGGATGATCCATAATCCATAGTCTGAAAGATTTCGTGCACAGTCTTTGTAGAAATACCTGCCATAACAAATGAAACCTAAAAAAATAACAATTGTTACGGACTTATGAAAAATATACCACTTCAAAAATGAAATAATACTGAGTGTGCAGTGATTATATCAATTAACAATCGCTATTCAGATGTAACGTTAGAAATGTGCAAAACTGTAAGTTACTAACAACACAATGAAATCAGACTGTAAAAGATGGAACAGACTAGATCTCGATCGCAAAAATACATATATGTTAAGAGTCTCACTATTTCAAAAGAACGTTCAACGGACTCTGGTTCAACGTGAGTTCTCACGTCACGTCCACGCTGGTATTTCTTCCTGGGTTGTATTGTTGCCAGATATCGCACATCAGAATCAAACTAAATGCAAGCGCCACAAAAAGTGAAAATGAGTGAAACCAGTTTTTTTCGATTTGGGGAATGTCAGATAGAACAACATATAAAATATAAAACTCACAGATTATTTAAGACTACATGCATTGAAAGTTGTCGTAAAATATTGTGTTCTATAATACTTTTATTACAATAGCCTATACTTTTAAAACAATACAACACGTTTAAAAAATACAAATAAAATGTATATTTTAATTCAATGAAAAAAACCCAAAACGCAACCTGTCTGTTTACTGCGTAAGCATAACTTTATGGATGAATATCCCAGGCAGAGACGCTGAGACTACTTGCGGCGGACGTGGCAACACTGGTTGTAGTCTACGTCATCCTTCGTCCTTCGTCCTTCTACGTCATCAACCCCTCCTTCATACTATTGACAGAACCCATCATTCACAAAAACTAACTAACTAAAAGTAAAACTAACTGTACATGGCTTGTAGATAACATACAACTCAAGAAAGATAGAAAAATCGTTTTGATTCTGAGAAACTAAACAACAACAATAATATATATATATATATATATAGTACATATGGCTTGCGAAGTCTCGCAGGGTAAGTGACATTGTGTTTGTGCTTTTCAATTGATTTTAGATGTTTGTTAATGTTTCTCTTCGATCTACAGATGATCAAATTGGAGAAGCACTCTTAATCCGGTATGTTTCACTTCGTAAACTAATTTGTTGTTTGTCGCATTATAACCTTAACGTTTATATTAATGGTTACTTTCTATATTTAGTATAGGGTGTTTTAAAAATGCCTGTTCTAGATCAACATAATTTTGAGATGTTTGTACAAAAGTCTGTGTGGATATAAATTTTACTTTGAAAGGACAGAAGCAACATTTTAATGATTTACATTTTTAGAAAAACATCCAAACATAAGTACCAGTTGATGCACACATTGCACAGTGTCCTGTGTCACAGAGAGTTATGATTTTTAATTGATTTAAAACAATCTATGACAAATAATATATAATTACCAGTGGACACAGTCACACTGTTATGTCATGACAACATAATCACATAACTTATATATAGGCTAAGTATACATCACTTATCTACATAACAATTCAATTGACAATTCAACCATTGTGACATAATCAAAGGCTGACCTTGTGTTTATTTCTTTCTTCAGGTAAATTAAATATATTTGAATTTAAGTCATACAAATATTGCTGTTTTTACTTACCATTGTTGATGATCAATTCATCTTTGACAACAGGATATTGTAGATAAAACATTGAACAAAATGAGAGATTATACAATATTGTGCTCAAAATGTCCTTTCTTTTTCTTAAAGGGATACTTCAGGATTTATCATAAGATTTGTATTTGTAGAAAACCTGTTGTATTTTCGAATTATCGTGCTTTCCAACCTCGTATCGCCCTGAGACGAGAGATTTATGTATTTTTTTGTCTGGAAAAAATCCTCCAATGGCGCAAAAATATAAATTTTGCATCATCGGAAGATTTTTTTGGCCAGAGGCTAAAGACTACAGTCAGTAGTAGGGGCTGTCTCGATGGTAAATCTGAATGTAGTGTTTACATGAACGCTAAACAAGTGATCGGTTGATGTGCGTTTTAACATTGCTAAGAAAATTCCTGCTCCTCCTCCACAGGTGTCGCTCATCGGTAATCACGCCACTGGCCTCGCGTGATTCTCTACACGGCCCTAGCCTCGTCCTTCTCGCCACAGTAAAGATAATGAATGGCGACTGTAGAACGCAAAAGCTGAATCCCAGACATTTTGGGTGTTCTCGAAACTGTTCTTGAAACTAGTGAGACTCACTAGTAACCTAGACTTGTTTAACTACTGCGCTCTGTTCCTGGTAGACGTGACCTCCTAGTGCATTCTGGGAGTTGTTGTCTTTCATCCATAAGCCAAAAATACATTTTCTGGCTTTTCTCAGTTTAGAAAGCTCCAAATTCAAAAATAATTTCACATTTCTTCTACATGAATTACCCATTTTATATAGACATTCATCTTTCCAGGGATGAAATATCACTTTAAGTATTTAGATTTTAGAAATAAATTCAATATAGATTGAATTTTGGTCTACCTAATGCTGACTGTAACATTTTGAATTCATTAGTTTAAACATAAGACCCACTCGTAAAAAAAAAAAAAAAAAAAACGCATACACTGCAAAAACAGTAATTTACGGTAGCTGACAGAGCTAAATGCGCTTCAAATTAAGAAAGCATCTTCATCGGTTTGACTGGACATGTGCTGCAAATACTCAATACAAAAGCGACAAAATACCAAATTTATTTTAACATCCTGATTGTAGGTGTGTTGTATTTGCTGAGCTCTCCGACTACTGTAAATGTAGGGACTCAAATCAATTTCAAGTAAACTGAAACATATATGGATACACAAACTATCTGTGTGTCAGTAAAATGCTTTCCCCTTTAATAATAACTCTAAACATTTGACTCATTCAGTAATTCATATACTGTATAAAATGTCTTTCAGGGTGGTAAGAAATGAGGTGATGAATGTGGCAGCCGAAGGAAATGAAGACCCACCAGAACTTCCCGAAGTTCGACCATTAAGCAACACTCATGACCAGAAGCTTGTTCAACAGTTGGCGGAGACCATTAAAGTGATCGGTGATCGACTCGATCAAGATCAAGCATTTAATGAGTCTGTCTGAGATATGAAACTTTGAAACTTCTTTTTTGAACATCAGTGGTGTTGTCTACACACACGTTTTTAAAACCTCTGGTTTCTCTTTCTGTTTTTTTCAACTCACAGCATGATTGATGGATTAGTAAAAGTAGCTGATAAAAGAAGTTTCTGGAAACTTGTGGAACAGGTTTTCATAGATGACCAGATCAACTGGGGGAGAATTATAGTGCTGTTCTATTCAGTTGGAAAGCTGTCCGCAAAGGTATTGAATTAGTTAGATCCGGCATGTTATCTGTTCAATTTGTTAATATCTGTTGTTTGTAGACAGACGTGCATCTCTGTTTATATTTGTACAGTTAATTAAGCTCCACTTTGCTCTCAATAGATGACCCTCGCACGCTTGCCCGGAGTTGTTTCAGGTATTCTGACCTTAAGTCTGGATTACTTTAGGAGGAATCTGTTGGAATGGATTCGAAAAGTGGGAGGATGGGTAAGAAATATTTTTACATTATTGTTTCAAATACTGGAATATAAAGAAGCATTTGACTTTTGTTTTATTTTTCTTCTTTCGAAGTTGTGTTTAACAGTTTTAGTCACAATATCACAGCTATAACTTATTTTTTTTGTACGCCTTAATACAGATGTACAGTATCCCTGCACTGGCCAGTTTCTCCTTTGAGCAATTTTCTGGTTCTTCACTGAGAAAATATTTTCCCTATTTTGGAGCCGCGTTTTCCTTCACCTGTGGCCTACTGTTAGGTGGCTTCATCTTCTCGAGACTTCAAAAAAGCTAAGAGAGAGAGTGGCGATACAGCAACAGAAGTAATAAATCTGTAAACCTGAGAGAAACCAAATCACGTAAACTGATCTGCAGCATGATTTTGTAATTTGCCACTTTTTATTGTATTATGCCTTCATTGTATGCATTTATACTATTTTGTAAGAACAGGACAAATTGTACAGTGACAAGAACTGAGCCTAAGCTTTTTATTAATAATTGTTAAATATGACATAGAATATTGGTCTTCTATTGTGTGTTTTGTCCACTCTCTTGTAAAATGTAAGTATTGTGTATGGAATGTGACTAAAGTTCCCAATTTCAAAAAAAATTCACATCTCTTATTGGATAAAAACATTATCTGCCTCATTTGAGCACATGTTTTTGTGGATAAAAATAGATGACTGAACCCTCGTTTGACAGCAATATGCAGCACAGCAACTGTTTTTGTGCTAAATTTTTTATTATGTTTTTGTTCTTCAATAAAGTTCTTGCATAAATTAGTGTGGATCTTATTTCAGCTAATTTCCTCTCATTGTTTCATCTATCTCCACTCCAGCTAGTGTTACAACTAGTTAGTAAATAACAGCTAACAGTAACAGCTAGTGTTTTAAATTTGACAATCTCGGATAATCTGTGATATTGTAGTAGGTACACAAGTGAGATTTTGTTGTAGACAAAATAGCACAAACAACCACTAAGTACAGATGCTCAAATAAAGTGTTATTTTCATCCCCAGTCATATACACGCATTTCTTCTGAACTATGTGTATTGTAAATGAAAGTGTGGATTTGATTTGTTCGACAGATAAAAGGAAATGCAGCAAACAGAACTTGTTTCACTTTTATTTTCACTTTGCCTAGTGAGTGAAGATGTGGCTGACTGAAAGCTAGCTACTAAACCTATTAGAAGTCTGCGTTATGTTTAGTACAGTTATTGACTTAAAAGCATATAACATAGATACACTTTCATTTTGTTTTGTGAAGTGACCATCAAAAATTATAGGACCAAAGAGGAAGACAGGAAAAAGAAGTGCTCATGGCATCAGGTAAGTTGGCTTTCCCATTATTTCCTGTGCGCTCTCATGAAATCCAGTAAAGTGACATTTACTTTTGTATCTCTTAGATGACCAGTTTACAAACAATCTTGTACTTCGGTAAGTTTCATATATATTTGTTTGTAGGCTATAGACCATTTTGCAAGATGTAAACAACACTGGTCCAGAAACACTTCCTGTTTCAGTTTGTAACTGTTTTCTTTATTTCACATGTAAAGAAAATATCTTAAAGATGTTGTTTAACTTTTTGATACAGTTTTACTGAAACAGGAAGTGCTTCTGGACCAGCGTTGTTTACATCTTGCAAAATGGTCTATATCGAAATATTTGTCTGATGTTGAGCAGATAACTTTGTATATAGCCTACCTGATATAATAGGCTTCTTAGTATACCTTTTTCACAATCAATGTCACTTCACTTTCACACAATAATTGAACCTAACTAGATTATATGTTCAATGCCGTTAGTTCCATTTTTATTGCCATTCATTTCAATCCAGAATAGTATTGGGTCGCCATTCCCGGCTTTGGTTTCGTTTCTTTGTCCACCTTCATTTTCACGTAAGAGTGGGGATGTAATGTGTCTTGGCTTCCGGAGTCGACCGCTTCCAGTAATTTTTAGCTGTAGCCTTTAAACTCGTTATGCTACTTGATATCGCAAAATGGTCTTTCTTAAAACTATTATGTACGTTAGGCCTATAAGCCGTAATTCTAAACTTCCTGGTTTGTAGTGCATAGTTTTCCCATTTACAGCACTTTGTCATTCTAGTTATTTATAGCGGCTGGATCAGAATACATTCACAGAATATAGCTTCCGCGTATAAGGTGGATATATCAAAACAACTATGCTTTCACAATATGTTTTCAGATCAGTAAGGGCCGAGGTACAGAGGGCGGGAATATGTGTCCCGTCTCTTCCTGAACCGCAGCCAATGAGTGATGAGAAGGATGAGCTCGTGCTGGATCAGGTGGCTGAAATGATCAGAACCATCGGCGATCAGGTCGATCGGGATCCAAAACATAAGAAGTTAGTAATAGTAGCCTATCGAAAGGTCTTTTTGATATGCCAATGGATTAAGTCCGTATAATGTAAGATTTGTAAGAATTTAAAAAATAAAGTTGTGAGAAATAAGTCACAAAAGAAAGTAGTAATTACAATAAAAGTAATTGTGACACAAAGTTGCTATCTTATATGGGTTTCAAGACGAATGATTTGTTATCAAGTATATGTTTAATTTTAGCATGATTGACGAGCTTGCACGAGTGATGGACAGAAAGGGTTTTCAGAGGCTTGTGGACAAAGTGTTTGTTGATGGCATCACCTGGGGGAGAATTGTTACTCTGATCTGTGTTGTTGGAAAAGCCATTACAAAGGTAGGCCTGCTAGGTGCTTTCTTTACCATCATTTGTTTCAGTGCCCAAAGTGTTTAAGCTTTGCGACTAGATGTGTGGTTGCACTTTGATGCATTTTTTGCTTGTTTTTGTTGTATATAGATTCTTGCTTATGTCTCAGGAATTGTGTCTTGGACACTGGACTACTTCAAGGATAACTTGCTGAACTGGATCTGCAATAGAGGAGGATGGGTACGATTTGACAACACTTGTATTGACACAGCATTAATGAGACACATCTGTAATAGTCATTGATTGACCCTTTCAATACCTTCAGATCAATAGTATCTCTTCCTTGGCTCGTTACTCCTTTGAGCAAGATTTCGGTTCCTCATCCAGCCTGATCTCCCTCTCCTCTGGAGTCCTCTTTATCAGCGGAGTACTGCTGGGTGGCCTCATCGTCTGGAGACTAAACAGAGGTGCCTGAGGAGGGTCAGTGGAGGAGTGATGAAGTAGAAGGGTTTACAAATACAACTGAATTACACAAACGTGGTTTGGTGACCGAATATGAGAAGAAAAGGCTTTATATTGTAATGCACAAAGAGTGTAAAATATTATAAAAAAAAAATGTATGAAAAGACAGGAATTGCAGATGTACTGCACGTGATATTTTTTGTGCATCTCTCAGTCCGTGTTCATGAGGAGGGACAAAAGAAAGATGAAGGATGAGGGCCTTTTTCTTACATTTAAGCATATCCAAAATGGGACAAACAGCAATCACCAGCAAGACTTGAAATATCATGTGTTGTGCCAAGAGAACCGAAATTACGGTGTACGTCTCTGTAATTATAGTGTACTTCTGTGTAGGTATAAGGTAACAATGTGTTAAGTTTTGGGTAATAAAGGGGTACAACCAGATATACAAGCAAATGATTTATATTGTAATTATTTTAAATCTAACAGGTACCTATTCTGTTAATATATTCTACAGGCAAAAATTGTATGTCTGTTGTCAAAAGTTTTTATCACATTTCTGGCAAAATATGTTCTTATGCAATGTAGTGACAGGGTAATTTTGTATGTATGTAAGCACAGTATGATAAAAATTGAATTCATTGGCTTTTCTTACAAAACTACTAACGTTAAGCCAATAATAATAATAATTCTGCTATGATTTTAATTTAGAAGGTACCATGTAGTACTTACCTTTCACATTGTAATACAATGACACTTGAATCTCAGGGGAAATATACCGTGTATTTAAAACTTTTTTTAATTACTGGGGACTCTGAAGTTGAGGAGTTGGAGTCCCATTTGTCTTGGTGCACTGAAAAAATATGAATATATATACATGCTCTTAGCAAGCTACACCATCAATTTTAAGTTGTTGAACAATCCTCCACTCTAAAACATTTTGTGGCACCTTATATTACTGTAGTAACTGTAAATTTGAACAAAACACATTTTGGTGAAGTTTGAGGCCGATGGTACAATTTGTTCGAATCAATTGTTTGTTTTCTATGTTAAACTGTTGGCGATTATTGTTATTTATACATTTGTACAGTGTGATTCCAAAATCGGTTCTGTTTACAGTTTGTACAGTGTAAATATAATTTCAACATGATTGTATATTTAAACTTGTTTTAATAAATGTTTTTGGTTTAATTGTGCTACAGTTCTTTTACATGTACTAATTAAAAAAAATTGTTGATAATGCTAATGGTGAAGGTTTGTCTGTTTCAGCATACTGGTTTAATGTTGCATTTACCCTGTCACAGAACAAGGGGGTCACAAGCGCCACTTTAATTTACAGCCCGCAGGAGTTACTGTACACTTACCCAAATACACAGTTGAAATGGGTAACAAACACTAACTACTAACAATACGAAACAACACTATTTGCAGAGTAATTACAGAGATAGGTACTCTCATTAAGGAAAAAAAAAAGTATTAATTATACAGTTATATTTGCCCTGACTGACATTTAAGTGTCATTGTATTACAATGTGATAAGGTAACTACAACATGGTACGTTCTAAATTAAAATCATAGCAGAAACTTTTTTTTTTGGCTTAACGTTAAGTAGTTTAGTAAGAAAAGCCAATAAATTAATTTTTTATCATACTGTGCTTACATACAGCCATATATATATATACAAAATTACCATGTAACATTGCACAAGACCATATTTTGCTAGAAATGTGATAAAAACTTTTGACAACGGACATACAATTTTTTAGGTACCTGTTAGTTTTAAAATAATTATATAAATCATTTGCTTGTATATCTTTATTACCCAAATCGTAACATAGCCTATTTTTCCCTTATACCGCCAAGGCTATAATTACAGAAATGTACACTGTAATTTCGGTTTACTTACGCAGTTGTTTGCGGGTTGTAATATAAAGTGTAACCGAATTGTTCACTGTAATTTTGATGCAGCTGTTCTGAACCTCTACCTCATTTTAGTTCTGTAACTGTAACTCAATGCATTTTTGTTGAAACAAATTCTTTTAATAAAACAACAAATTCTGGTCTCATCTGGGCCTACTTGAAATGTATTTGTTGTGGAGCAGTGTGTAAAGACAATTTTATAAATTAATTACTCTGTAATTACACAAAATAACTATGTACTATAAATATGGTGCACAAAAATTATATTATGTTTGAAATTTAATTGTTTCGACTTTCTTAATAATGCAGATTAAGAATGCCCATGCCCTTGCCCCAAAGCCATATGTAAGAGAATTATTATTTATGCATCATTATAAGCATGTGTAGGAAATTAATTTATTCTAAAAATAATTAAAAACAAATAAAAACAGAATAAAAATAGGTAAACACACCACTTATTCGGTAAATGTGTTCTTGGATCCCATGAAGGGTAACATGAAGAAATCACAACATTTGAATAATCACACAGGACACATGTTGAAAATTTTGGCATGAGCTTTTAACATTTTTATTGACTTTTTGATAACTTTTTCTTTTTAAATTGGATTTCTTTTTTCCTAATTGTTTTTTTTTTTTCCCTATCTAATGGAGAAGATTTGATCAGGTAGGTTAGCATTCACGTTCAAACTTTCATACTTTTAGTAATTTAACGATTTTTAAGTCTCAGTTTTCACAAACTCTGTTAAATTATTACAGTTTATTAATTTTTTTCTTTATACATTTCAAAAATATAAAAGGTAAATAATAAACATTCCATTGAAATATATTTTATACAGTTCTTGATATTTTTTTTCCCTTTTTTGTATGACAATAAAATTGTATCCAGCATCAATCTTAATAGCATAGAACTCATCCATTTCTTTTAGGGACCTTCTCTTTCTCACTGGCCTCTCTTTCTAACTCTCTGTCTCTCTTCTTAACCAGGGGTGTATGGTTAGGGTTGCGCTCACCAGTAGACACAGCAGCTCCATTAGCTGTGTTAGTGCAATGAATTTCCCCCCTTTAAACAAGCTACATAAAGGAATTAAAGTATAAAATGACAAAATACAAAAAACAGGTAGTGCATATTGGGCCAAACTATAACAAATCGTATCCAGACACATGCAGTGAAAACTTTGTTGCGTTGATATCCGCCCTCACAACTGCTGCATCTGTTCCGCTCTGAGTCTGTGGAAGCTCTGATGAATATTTACTACAGATACAAATATCATCTTGAAAACGATGTATAAATATATTAATATAGTCTTAGCATACATAGCCAGAACTTACATTTGCTACGGCTGCATTTTGAAGAAAAAGGGGAAGGGTGAGGAAACCTAGAAACAATATGTTCTTACTTCCTCTCTAAGTGTCTCTGAGAGAGCAGTCGCAGAGTAGAGAGCCCAGGTGAAAGAGATGGTTGCCTCATTCTGGCCATTCACAAATTATTCACAAGTTATGTCCTCATTGTATTCCATGCATGCATTATAATTCAACTTCAAACAATATGATAGAAAAACACAAGAACAAGGGATGCAAAAAAGCTTCTTCCTCAAAAATTGAGAAGGAGAGGGAACAGATGAGAGAGTGGGAGGGGATGCAAACAGGAAGTTGAGAAAGCGTGGAGACTGATTCTGGCTTTGTTCTGCTCCTCTCTGATATGTTTTGTATTTGGGTTTCAAGTAAAGGTATGTGAGCTGTCAGCCATCTGGAGGGGTTGTGTGATCTCATTCACGCTAAGACAAGCCCTCACGGGAAGCTTTTGCAGAGAGAGAGCGTCTTCAATTGATGTGGCTGTTTATCTACACATTCAGGGAACAGTTTCAGGCACACTGGGTTTCCTATTAGGGATGAGATGAACGTGTCCCCCCAATTCCTAATGACGACAATGAGAAAAAGGTGGACCTCCATCATTATTGCTCCAAAACACCATCCCATTTGACTTCATGAAGGACCAGAGAGGTACACATTAACTTAACCAGTCAGCAAATGCCTGTGAGATGCAATTTAGAACTGAGTACCATATATAAAATAAGTTCTGGTTACATATATATCCTACATACCCTCTGAGATGAGTATATGATTACAGATAAATGTGTATGCGAACTCGAAAAGTGCACGAGTGTCTTCCTGTACCCTGAAGCATGCAGGAGAGACATTGTAGAAGACGTTACACAGACCTTACATATTGACAGAGAAGGAAAGGGAATTCAGTGCACCACTAAAGAAAGCGACATGGCTACTACAGCTGCACACATCTGTCGCACCTTCAAGCTACTTGGGCCAGCTGCTAACGTTTGAAGTAACACTACACGCTCAGCAGATAACGCTGGCTCTTGTGGTGATGGAGCTGCATCTGTGTCGTTTTCCCTCCCTGGACACACAGCACCGGTAAACAGACACCAGCCAGCTGGCCTGAGCACATGGCATATGTGTGTGTGTGTGTGTGTGAGTGTTTGTGAGCTGCTAAGGTCTTGCTTAGGTGTTGCATAGGTAGTTACTAAACTAAGCTTACATCAGATTCTGAACGATGAATGCTGAAAGAACACAGTCATGGGATTTTAAGACAACAAACGATGCTTTAAGTGACATAAAACAACACCTATAACCAGACTTCAACAAGAACTTCCACTTTTGAAAAAAGGTGGTTCAGATCTTGTTGGTGAAACAAAGACAAGAAAAGGTCTGAGCAAACAGTCAAACATACTGGTGGAATCATGACCTCCTCTCACGCAGGATAATACTAATATCAGAAATATGTTAATAATAGTAGTTAATAAGGAAGTCCATTTTGGTGTTGCATGGCTGGTTTTAGTGGGTGCTCAGCATTTGTAATCATTTTTTGAAACTTTGTAATAAAATCTAGTAATCCAGAAAAAAATAAAATAAAAATCTTGTCAAAACCTTGCAAAGCTCTGTACCACCCAAAATAATTCAGAGAATAAATGATGGATCGAATGAATGCTAATGTCAACATCTTTAACAAAACCAAGATAGCATGTTCTCCTGCTGAGCACCTTCGCTCGGACAGTGGCGCTACTCTCACGTTATGGCTTCGTGATTGGACAATAGTGCTTTGCGATGTAAGTGCTCAGGGTCTCAAGACACAGCACATAATGCTAACGATGGATAAAGCTTCGATTTTACCCACAGCGTGTGGATGAAATAAAAAGAACAAACATGGCAAAACAACTCAAAACTTTCCATCAGGACTCAACATAAAAAGAAAACTTCACCCACAGCCTTAAAATCCCCTTCCACCTTGCTCTTCAGACCCATAACCGTCAAAGGAAAAGAGCCCTGTAGGTGTCGGAGGTCTCCAGAGGAGCTTTCGTGCCACTGCTGGAGGCTGCCATGACTGAGGGAGACCGTGAAGGGCAGAGCAGAGAGCCAGGAGAGTTCAAGTAAAGGGTAAAACGGTGGAGAAAGAGAAGGAAAGAAATGTCACTTGAAGCCATGGAGGGAGCAGTAGTAGTTGAAGGAGTTTGTCTCATCATTCAGCTAGACTCAGTGGGGTTTGTTTTTCTTTTATCCAACAAAACTGTGTGAATCTTGCAATCCTATATATTTTTACATTACTCTTTTTTATTAAAAGAAAAATAGAGCCTCTCTTTTTTTTAAATATATTCTTTTTTTTTCTCTAAATTTAGTAGCATTTAGCATAAACTTTTATTGTTTCCATTTGATTTCGGTGTTTAGTGATTCCAAGCCCTCTAATTTGGGGTTCAGGGCTTGCAGAAGTCATGCAGTTTAGTCATGCTGGTAAACAAAGTGAGAAAAATGCATTTTTAATTTTCTCTTTTTTTCAGCTTTTGTCATAGTTCATCCAGTCCTCTTAAAACCCCCTTTGTCCTTCATTAGGTGTCATGCACTTATGTTGTATTTTGTGTTCTCCACTTGAAGTTTAAGGACCTGCGTTTTCATCCGTGACCCCATCCACTTGTCCAGAGTCACCCATATTGTACTGTGCAAACAGAGCGGCCCTGTCTTCGGTTTCCTCTTGCACCTCTCAGCACGATCTCTACCATCTTCCTCTCTGTTTTGTTTTTTGATGTTTTTTTTTTTTTCTCATTCATGCCATGCAGATCATCTACAGTGGAACAGAAATGCTGAGATGCAGAGAGCTGAACTAAGAGAGAGAGAAAAGAGAGAGGCTGACGCTCTTTTCTTCATTGTGGACAAAGTCACCTTTCCGTGGGCCCTGAGAAGGACACTCTGAACAAAATTTTCCAATTAGATGAATGGGAAACTGTTCGCACGATATAGGAATATGGCAGGCCGATGACACCGCTGTCTATTTTCATTTAAAGCACGTGCAAGATCTCCCAAAAGTTAAAGGAGTGGAAAAAGTTTGGCTGATAAAACTGTTCGTTCGAAGTGCTTGTTGAACTTGCCTGTGAATGTGTGGTTGAATTGCATAGCGTTGAATAGCATGATGGGTATTTTTCCACACATTATTTGTATCTGAGACTGGATTGAGGGTTTTGTTGTCCACTTTCAGGTGCATTTAACTGGGTGGAACGCCCCACAAAAATAGTTCTCGTTACTTTAAAATTGCATCCATTTCCACCAGGAAGGGTCTTGCCAGGACATACTACAGTTTGTATGCGGACTCCCACCCTTTTGATCCTTGTAGGAAGAAAATGTGTTCAACATCCTCCCAGGACGTGACATCTTATGTTTATTGCGCCTATGTTGGGGCTTAAAATTAGGAATGGAGAGATGAGCATTACAATGTTTTCTTCAAGTGGGATTAGCGCAGCACTCCTTTCATCTCTCGTTTTCTCTCTTTCGCCATCTCTATTTCCTGCAGTGACCCTGGGGGTTGCCTCTGGACAGGTTTTGCAGTTGGGGAGATCGGAAAAGGGGCAGTTCAGAAGCTCAGCACTGTAGGGAAGAAAGACAGAAAAAGAGGGGTATAGGAAAACGGAGGACAAGAAAATCAGTATCACATCACACGTTGCATCGGCCCAATACAAACGCACTAAAAGCTACACACCGCTAGAGGCTATCGCAGATGATAGTCGTTTCAGACTGTGCAACTGTGAGAGCCAAAGCTAAAGAAGCCAAACACATAATTGTCTTTTTCTTTGTTTTGGAGTGATGTCCATAGAACATATTTACATAAAGTCTCCTAAATACCAATTTAAAAAAAATGTAACTAAACAAAAAACCCAAGTGTACTCATAGCAAAGCCCATGTAACATGCGCTCAAAAACAACAAAAAACAAAACAAAAAACAAAACAAAACCAAGACTCTTGGAAGAACACTCACAAAAACAAACACACATAAAGCTGAATAAAATTTCCAGTCGTTGAGGGCCACAAAAGCGTGGTTTTAATCTAGGTGTATCAAATCAACAGAATCAATTAATAATCATCGATTTTGTCAGCCCTCTAGGATGGACCAGAACAAAGCAAAAGCTCATTGTAGATCAGTGAACTCCTTCACACAAAGGGTGCGTCCCAAATTGTGACTCCCTATTCCCCATGAAGTGCCCTTTATTTTGATATTACCAAAAAGTGAATCTGGCATAGGGAATAGAGAGCGAGTGCACCATTTAAACGCAGCGCCAAACATTAGAAGAGCGGGAAAATAAAGTGTCACACAATAAAAACAAAACACTAAGCACACAGTCAGGCACATGAGAGCACAGTGTGACACACAGAACACCATATGCACATTCTTACACTGAGAAGCGTTCAGCTCCCTTCCTCCTCTCTTTGACTTTTTTTCTTTCTTCCTCAAACTGTCCTCCATTTCACGATGCCTTTCTTCATTTGTTGACAATCCTCCCAATACTCTGTTCCCCAAACACACAATCTGTCCATCTGACCCTCATGCTTTCATGTCCTGATTTTGGTTGTGTCCTGATTCCACATAGTTTTTTTTTGTAATCCACTTATGGCAGACCGTGTTTGAAAAGTTCTTTTTTTTTTTTCTTTTTTTTTTTAAACAAATCACTGATTATTTTTCCTCAGTTTCTCATAATGTCATCTGGACTTTTTTGGTTGTTATTTGGAAGCAGTAAGAGTTCGTAGTTGGGAATAAATGAAAGCGAACGATGAAATGGCAAAATAAACGAAGATAAGGACACTGTGGAAAAGGAAGACTTGCAATGAGTGTTGGGGTCAAAAATGATTTCATATTTACACAGATGCATGTGTACACGTGGTGTTCGTAACTTATCCATCTCTCTCTGTTTTGAATGACATCATTTTGGAAGCACTGGTATAGACAAACAAAAAGAGATTTACCTGAGTAGTGACAGGGGAGCGTAAGTCTGACAGAGACAGAGAGGATACTGGGTAATATCGCTAAATCATTTGAACTCAACCTGCTCTCCCCGTTTCAAATGCCACATTCAACAATAGTCAAACAATAGTTTCTGTGCTCTCTCAAACTCCACATGCAGTCTCTGTACAAGAGAATTATTTACATTGCCCTCCGTGATTGCATGCAGCCTCTGCATTTGCTAACTAAGCTAACTTGTGGCAGGCCTGTCTCTTCCACATCATAACTTCAGGATTGAGATAAAGGGATATGAGTGGAGCTCTTCCATACACCCTGCTTATGCTTTAGATAGACAACACACAGCAAAACCACAAAATGCACTAGGATGCTAAGTGCTAGCTATCTTGTATATGTGGAAACATGCATTGCTGTTGTGAGCAGACTATTAGCATCTTCTCTGCTCTGATCAGCGTTATTGTCTAGTGATTTTAGTTGTCAACAAACAAGAGAGAACGGGAAATCCTTCTGGTCAGTGTCTGCTAAAAATGTCTAATGTCTCTTTCTTTAATCGTATATTTAACAGGTAAACATTAAGGGCTAAAAATCAGTGTTCTTAGCCTCTAAAGTGACCAAAGAGTGCTAATGAGCTACAACACCGAATGCTACGTACGTCAGTTCATCCCTCGAAAAACCAGCAGAGGGGGCTAGAGCTGAGGTTAACACAACAGCAAGTGGAAACAGAACAACCGATTTCCTCATTAAAAATGCAAAACTAAGACGATTAAACAAGATTGATGATGTCATGAGATGAGAATACAAACTAAAATGGAGTTGCACAGGAGCTGATACTGGTTCAGGGGCTCAGATGTTCGTATGGGAATGTTTTTATAAAGGAAGAAGTGGATTTTCTGTTCTAGTCTTAGTTCACAGTTACTGCTTCTTTTTGCATATATCTGATAAGCACAGGGCTTTCAGAATAGTTCTCTGTGAAAAGATGAAAAAGAATAAATCATAAAATGACCATCTGCAATGCTTTTGATGTCTAACACAGAAAATAAAATTAAATCAAACGTACATAGTTAAAGCACATTCAAAACCCCATATTCAATACAACAGTTGTAATGGTCTCTGCCACCCAATAGCATCTTGGCATGCAAAACTAAGCCACGCCCCGCACCACCCCCCACCCACAGCAATCAAGTCAAAAATGACAGATTGGTAACAAAACAGCAATGAAAAAAAAATAGTTTGTACATTTGTTTCATGCAGATCATTAATATGCATGTGCACATGAATATGAATATACACATCCATATGTACACACAAACATATACATAAACCTCATTGTTAAAATACATTTTCTTATCAAAACAGATATATAGACTTAGAATTTCCTTATTGCTCGCAATAGAAATCCATGCATGTGGAAATTACAAAGTCAAACTTCAAAACTGTACATTTCATTAAGACCTGAACTATACAACCTCATAAAAAGCATTAAAACACAAAGGCAAAAAAAGAGAGATGAAGAGGAGAGGGACATGGAAGAGACATAAGAGATGATAAATTAAACAGTGTTTTGGCTGGACCTGAATCATACAGGGATTTAGTGTCCCTCTTTCTCTCCTTCTAAACATACCAGGTCATTTGTCTAAATTTAAGGTAATACATAATGCACACTTGCTTGTTTTACAAGGCACCTTGTAACATACATTTTTTAATAGACACCTTTTCAAAGAATTAAAAAAAAATCTATGTTAGACAACCTGCCTCAAACAATCCTGCTGTGCAAAGACAAAATGCAGTTAATGCATATTTTCAAAATTGAGTTATAAGCAAAATCAGATCTCTTGGATTATAATGCTTTGGCTCCACTATGAAAACTGTGTGGTGTAGTTACTGCATTTGGCCGTTGTACGGCTGGATGACCTGTTGGTTCAATAATAAAAGAAAACCCTTGACATCTACACGTTAAATGTCTAACTGAACACTCCAGTTACACAAGCACACATGTGGTGTCACATCCATCCAGCAGATGGCCCTCACTCACTGTCCTGAGACCTTCAATGTATATGAAGCATGTACATGAAGCAGTGCAGCTGCAGCGCACATGCAGACGACTAATGATTGGTGTTTTACTCATTCAAGCACAGAGCCACACATTAGTTTGCTGCTGCCATGCAGACGCTCCATGTAATCAACAACCTCCATGATTTTCTTCACTATAGAAGTGAACGTCTTTAACCAAAAAAGAAGAGAGGAGGGGAAAAGGAGTGTAACAGGTAATGTGACAGTAGCAAAAACACATGAAAACAAAAGAAAAACTTATACTGATTAATTGAGAAGGATTGCATATGAACTGTAAAACAATCAAAAAGGTTGCAAGGCAATAAAATCATCTAAAATAAGTAAATAATGCTACTTTGCTTTCTGCTAAAACGTGGCACTTATATCCCAGGTTTCCTGTTGTTTCACATGGAGAGAAAGACAAGAAGAAGCTTTGTGAGCTGCCATTGCAGAGATATCTTCACCAGAGGTGTGTTTTGCGTCTGTGCACTCAAAGATGCAGCAGATCCACACAAATCCCCACACAGTGGAACATATGGCTCATATATCTGCATTACAGAGTTCATTTTGTCATCTTTTCTTTTTCTTCTCTTACTGACCGCTGTCAATCCAGCATCCATTCAATGTTCCCTCCATTATATTGGAATGAAGGTCAGCATCCAAGAGACAGAGCAGGCAAAAAATATATATAAACAGAGAAAGAAAAGAAGAGGACCAAAGAGAAAACAAACTGAACTGATTCAAATACTGCATTCAAATAATAGGAATAACAGTAATCAGAAAATGATTTATAATGAGGGAGGGTGATGCGAATGATGGTGATGCTGAGGATGAAAAGGTCCAGCTAATTCTTGCCCTTAGTAGGGAAACTTTGAGGTTCGCCACAGCCCCAGGGATTGTGAATATGCAGTGAGGAGTGCAGTTCAGCTTGATATGTCTTCATATTTATGAGGAAGTATCATAGGAAAGGATATATTTTAAAGGAAGTTCCTTCATGCACAAGTATACAAATTGGACAGGGTCCCGAAGAAGTGCAGAAGGTTGCAGGCCCTTAATAGGATGGCTACTTCTTATTTATTTATTTTTTTGCCATGTGTCCAGACCACTGCTGTTTTCGATTCGTGGTTCTTGGTGTTGAATATGTATAGAGTCAAAATACAAAAACCAACACATTAATTGTAGATCTCCATGCAACAGCACGATATCCTGTCCTCCCAAAATGTCAACTCAAAGCCGCCCGCGCAACTCCAATCCCCAATCCGAATCGCAATGTCCAAGTGCTTAGTACAAAAATAGCCTCTTTTTTTTTGTTGTTGTTGTTGTAATGATCAGTTCTCGGTCTCTCTGTTAAAGTTAATGGTTGTACATAGTAAAGTTTGAAGGGTTCATCGTCAGCTCCTCAGGGTCAGCGCTCATCATAATAGTTGATATCGCACAAGAATGGTTTAAGCATTTTTCTTTGTCCTAATATTAATAACGGTGTAAATTATATTTTCAAATATTGAGTGACAACAAATGTTGCTGTAGGAAATACTCTGTATGTGAATAATTGTGTTATAATCATAATACTCATGGCCTAAATCACCAAAAACCCCCTCATCACAATCAAATCAGCCAAAACGATCCGATCCGTTAATTCTCTTCTGCAGAGCTTACTCGTGAGTTCAAATCAGTCGTTTTCAAATCTTCATAGCAGTTAAAGGGAATCGGGAGTTTAGATATATTCTACTTGCCTAATGGACATCTTTTCTTGCATGCACTTGAACTACGTGCATGTTGTCTGTGACCTATGACCTTTATCATTCCAAGCTTTGATATGAGGTGAATTTTTCAAGGCCTATAATGGTGTATCAAAGCTGATCTCAGCGACGACTAGCACTCAATGAATAAGCCAGCTGGATCACAGTCTCGTTTTTTTTTTTTATACAACCAGCAATCAGGCAGGTACGAGTGGGGAAAGCCTAGAACTACAGTCATTCAACTACAGGGAAAGATTTCCTACAGGGTACTCCTCGCTGCCTATGGACCAGTGAGGAGTTTTATCCTAATATATTAATATTCAGTGCTTCTTTTTATTTATTTTTCATCTTCAATAATAAGGCATAATCCGCTGAACGTTACAGCACATAATTGTTTTTAGTTGCCTGTCTGAAATATTGCCTGAAGTATACGTGATGAAGTTGTTTTAGTAGCCTACTTAAAGCTCTAAATCCCTAAATAAATGTATCCCATTCCCTTTGAGGCACGACATATTAAAAAGAGTGGTGTGTACCCCCACCCTGTCCAGTCAATGGAGGAGCGGAGGTGTGAGTACTTAGCGTCGTTCTCATGATTATTAATACTACTGCGGTATGACGGTGCGCGAGGGTCTTTTTTGTTTATTTCGTTGCCTTTCCCTAAGATGTGCTACAGGATGGAGGGTATTGGGGATCGGCAGCGCCGCAGAGGGCCGGGGGACTCGTAGGGTTCGTAGGGTGAGTTGTTGATGGGGGTGATGGGCGTTAGGCGCAGGGGGGCCCCTGTCATCCCCGAAATATTATTCAGGCTGCGGGACTTCTCGTAGCCAGCAGCTACAACATCCAGAGGGGATGAATGGTTAATGGGTAGATTACATACATCAGAGAAAGATGAATGAATGGAATTATTATGGAAGCAAAACATAGTTGGATTCATTCATGGTGAATGTCGGGATTTTTATTTATTTGATAAAGTTCAAAAATCAGGGGAAGGGAAGAGAAGGAGAAAAAAATGGAAGGCAAAGAATGACAAAATGAGATGGATGTAAATGACAGAAGCAGACAGACAGAAAGACAGACAGACAGGGACAGACAGAGACAGAGACAGAGACAAGGACAAAACAGGAAAATGAGAGTTATGAAATGTCATCAAGTCAAATTCTTTTGTTGTTGTTGTTGTTGTTGTTATGGCACAGCAGTAATAAAAAAACTCCCTTTAGTCGCAGCCACATACAATTTTCAGGGAGAGATAAGAGCAGATGTGTAAAAGAGCAGGTGGATGAAGCACCTGATGGCTGACTCAGACCAATAGTGAGGTAATGAGTGTAGCATCCAGGTGTTTGACCCAGTCTCAGACGGAACACTCTGCGGTCTGTTACTAGCACTGGAGTCCAACAGAGGAGTAGCAGAGGAGCTCCGTCTAGTCAAAGCAGACTCACTCAGCACTGTGGGCCAGGTGAAGCTTGTGCCTTTCAGACTAAATCTTGTTCCATTATTAGCAGCAAATTCGTCTTCCCTCTACACATAAGTGTATTTCTGTAGATTAAGAGTCACTTAAAACCGCTTCACGTGACCCAAAAGTGCCTGAAAGCTTTCCTTCCACATCCATTTCTGGCTTTGAACATTTTTTTCAGTCTGGCCAAACTTTCCTAAAGGGTTTGGATTTCATTCTTTTCTTAAGTCCAGTGTTGTTTTAATTTGGTTATATATTCTCTTTTTACGTCTCGGTAATCTTTGTAGGCTATAATCACTGACTTCCAGTTTTAAATAATGGCTTTGTTGCCATTGTCGCCTATCAATGATGTAATGTCCGCCTATATCTTCGGTTACTGCTTGCATAATTCATAGATTCCTCATTAGCGGCCATTTTAATGGGCCGTACCTTATAGTACGCATAGATATATACACTAGATGTCGCATTGGAGCTCTAAGCATGCGTCAAAACCGCCGCCATCTTGGAACAGGGGTCTTGTCATAGGAAGTAGCTAGGTAACGCCACCTGTACTTTGAATTCATGGATTTTCAGACTTTTGTGCTGCGTATGGATATTCACACGAAAAAAATCTAAACTAGGAAGAATGCTTTTGAAAAACATAATAATAAATAATAAAAAAATAATAATAAATAAATAAATAATAGAAAATCGGATTCATGACGATTTTTGGTGAATTTATTTCCGTTTGACCTTTGCCTACATTGACGCTTCTGCATTAAAGAGAAGGGACTCCCCTGTACCAGGATGGCGGCTCTATTGACGCATTCGTTCCAATGAACTGCTGTAGCCAAGGCGACATCTAGAGTATATATATATATCAATATCAATGATACATACGCTATTGAGGGATCTATCCATGTATACATATTTATGATACAATATCTCGCACGCCACTGAATTGTGTCGTTCAGTCATCATGGTTCACGATTATTGATTGGCGAGTACAGAAAATCTGTTATCCGTTATATAGTATACCTTTATATTGCACTTTGTTTGTACTTCAGTAATGCTTTTTATCAAGTCTGATGACCAAGTCAATGGCAGTGAAATAAAATACATGTGTTTCACTAAAAATATTTAGCAATTACTTGCAAATAGTGGGTTTGTTCAAATGTATTTTTAGTATGATTGTTTTAAACGTGTAAAACTGTGCAGCATTAACCCACCAAATCATTTAACAATTAGTCACATCTCAGTAACAGTCTAATATAGCATTACATGTCATGTTCTAATTCATTATGATGACATAAAATAGTGTGATCAAATGTACAGGTAATACAAAAACTAATCTATTAGCTTCTATTTATACATCTCTGGATGGTGAAAACTACATCTCCAATCATTCTATTCTCCTTCATAACATCATAAAGTTTCATCTTTGTTACTGTTTTGACAGTGCAAACATGCCTACAAAAATTTGTGTTAAATGTAATTTTTATGACACAATTGGTAACACTTTAGTTTAGGGTCCAATGCGCACTATTAACTATTTATTTAATTAAATTAACATGCATATTACTAGAATATTGGCTGTTTATTAGTATTTATAAAGGCCAATCTAATGACTTGTTCTACATCACCATATTCTACATCCCTTAATCTTTCAAATACCTAAATTTAACAACTATCTTACTGACTATTAATACACAGTAATTAGGAGTTTATGGAGGCAAAAGTTGTAGTTAATATTGAACCCTTGGACCATTGGACCCTTATCTAAAGTGACCACACAATCTTGCAGGTCAAAACCGAGTACTAGCTACTGGATGATGCATTAGGATCACTTGAATCAGCTCTTTAAACTGCCAGGATTGTCGTTCGAAAAGAGTTCGAAAATCAGCTCTTTTAAATTTTTTTGACCCCATTGACTTTCATTGTATGGGCAAAAAATATAACTTCAAAACACAGGTTGTGTTCACACTCGTAGTTCGGTTTGCTTGGTCCATTTGGTCCAGTCCCCCTCCCCAGCATGGTCCAGCATTTTGTCCTTTTTACAGTCACCTCTTGTGACATCATGACCTGCTTTTGGTTTGTTTACATGTCTTTGGTCCATCTAGTGTTTATGTTTAATTCGAATCGCTTGTTTGGTGCGCACCACCCAGATAGCAAACTGACATTGAATCAACGTGGAAATATGACATCGAAACAACGTTGATCTGACATTGTTTTGCTCATCGAATTAACGTTGAACCAACGTCAGATGCGTCATTCTTTCAAAACTAACGGAAGATCAACTTGAAATCAACGCATTGTTTCAACGTTACGAAAGCAAACCAATTTTCGATTTTCATTTAGCTTTGAAGAATGCCGCGTCTGACGTTGGTTCAACGTTAATTCGATGAGCAAAATCAATGTTGTTTCAATGTCATGAGAGACGTCGTTTCCACGTTGATTCAATGTCAGTTTGCTATCTGGGCAGGGTTCGCATGGTAGCGTTCACACATCAACTGAACCGCACTAACAGAGCAATCGTACCAGGGTTTGTTTTAATCGAACCAAACATGCCAAGTGTGAACGCACCCTTAATCTTCTTTTACTTTCCACAGAAGAAAGAAAATAATTATTTTGATTAGTTTTTCAATCCAGTGATAACTTATTGTTTGTTTCTATGCGTTTGTAGCGCTTTGGATAAGCACATTATAAAAAAATACTATTATTATTATTATTCAGGTCTGGAATGGCAACAAGTAAATGACAGAATTTCTCATTTTGGGGCAAACTAAAAACTTTTTTTCAAAACTGTCTGATTGTGTAAGGGACTCAATCTGGACTCACATATTGCTGTTTTTCAGCAAAAGCCATCACAAATTGATATGGAAGGAAGAGCTGGCCCATTACATAGTAGACAACACCCTCCTGACACAGGAGAACTTCCCACACGGACACAAACACAGTGAGTTAGAAGTCTTAACAGAACAAAACAAGAGACAAAAGCTCACAAGGAAGGAAAAACACGGGGTGTTAAGAAGGTCCTACTGTCGTATAGTCGGCAATCCTATCTCCAGTCCCTTGTGTGATGTAGTTCTTTTAGGAAGTGTGTTTGTGTGTGTATGTGTGTGTGAGTCTGACTCAGAGGGCTGCTGGGACACTCTGGGTGCTGCACAGCCACTTGTCATTCAAAATCTACACCAAACCATTGCCTATAGGAACTGCAAAGGAAGGCAATGGCAGACAGATCTGGGTCATCATGTTCCTCACACCAGACCACTGGTGCAAGCCAGTAAGGGACTGTTTGCCACAGATGACTTGAGGGATTACACATAATTAACTATTTGGTTCTTTTATGCAACAGAGTCAGAAGTGTTCATTAGTTCATTCACATAGAGAAAAATAAATAATGTGTATGTGTGTAACAGTGTACAGATAAGAACACACATTTTATTCCTATCACTGGACTTGTCTTGTCCTCTCTATAAGCATTTGCTTTCTCTGAATGGGATTGATTAGGAGCAATATGGCTATGCAGTATGTGTCCAACAGTAATATTTTGCAATGTTTTCCCCTCTCTTTCTCTGAACTGCAATGTAAATGTGACAATTCATTTTTTGAAATTAATATTAGTGTTAATAAAATATTAGTTGTCCATTCCTTACATAGATGCTTTAGCCTACATTATATTGTGTTTGGACACAACGGCACTTTTGGATTCCAGTTCAAAGATTTCTACAACAACAGATCTAGATACCCAGAATGCAAGCAAAGCAAAGCAAAGCAAAACTAAACTAAACTAAACTAAACTAAACTGAACTGAACTGAACAAAAAGAAGAAGAAAAAACAAAAACAGATAAGATTATTGAAACAGATAAGAAGAAGAGAGGAGAGGAGAAGAAAAAAAAACTTACATTAACCACTATTATAACAAAAAAAATATTTAAGATATTTTTATGAATTGAACTGTTGGGGTCATGGAAGTGCAAAAGTCTAATAATAATAAGTTTTGTTTTGTTTTTTTTCTGTAAATTTTTTTTTCTGTAAATTTTCTGTATTTACTTACAGTACAATGATTCCAGCATAATCATTGACCTGTTGATTCATCTCATAACATACCCACAGTAACACAACTCACACTCAGCCTTACGCATGCAACACAGAAGGGCTTTGGTAAGAGGGGATGAATGAAGAATTACAACAGTGTTGTGGACTTGTGTAATCCAAACTCGACAGACTCTGTGCTTCTGCATATCTGTAGCATTTGTGATAATCATCTGGCTTAATAATTCAATTTGACTGTTACTTTAAGTGCAGTTTGCAAGGCTTTGTCAAACTTGTCAAAGAATGAGAATCAAGTTCTCAGAAGGCATGAAACGCAGAGTCGTTGACATGATAGCTTCTCAGCTT